ATGATTTCTCCATGCGGGTTCTGCAGATACATTTTGTTCCGATTGGAATGTACTGTGACAGACAATACAGTCACCAGGAACTGGAGCTGGGCTCCCAATCTGCAAACGTCGTTGTCTTCTCTCTGTAAATGTACTTGAGATGACCCCAGGCTTATCACTGCTTAACTAAGAGGGACATATAAACAGTAGTTGTAGTTTCTGTTTCTCTGGCTTTTCTCATAATTAGATTAAAGTTTGGTATACTGCATATTTAAGAATGTCGTATGTGATAAAGGCAGAGTGTAAACGTTCAATGGGAGAAGAGTGGGTTTTTTAACTGGGGTGGTTGGAGGATTGGGGGGAAGAGGATGAGGTCGGAGGTGCAGCTCACAGAATATTTGAGCATAAATTTTCTACTTGTTAACAGAAGTTAAATGTAGAACTTCCTACATTTAGGAAATTCCTAAGCAGTTAGATTGCTGTTATCTTAGGATTGGGAAGACTTTTTTAAGAATGTAGGTTTTAGAAGCACAGGAATGGGTAGATTGGACTTGGGCTGAGAAAAGGCTAGCATTTCTGCAAGTCAAGGGCAAATTGGGGAAAGTAGTTTCATGAGGTAAAATATATACAACTCTTAAAAATCCATACAGTAGAACAGTAGAGTTAATGTATAGGAAGGATGTGAGAGAGATATCATTTGGTTTTTGAATATTAAATTCAGCAATGTGGAAGGAGCCAGTATTCAGGACTGGGGAAGAGATTGGGTGAAGACATCTCTTGTCAACTGCTAATTGGGGTGTACACAAGTGAAGCTGTCTAGACAGTATTTTAGCAGGATCTATTGCAGTCCTCAGGTATGGCACCGTGTTTTGATCCTTAACAAATGTGGATCCCTAATGATTTAACTTGTGAGATTTCACACTAAGGGAACATCAGAGATGGTTGCAAATGATAATCACAGCCCTGTTTATTTAAATGGTGAAGAATTAAGGAAACAACTTAATGGTAATTGGTAGAGGTAAGGTCAACAAATTACCCTACTTATAATAAAATTCATACAATTACTTTCAAGTCATGTTCTCAAAGAATTGAAGTGACAGAGTTGGGGAATGCTTTCTGTGTACTATTAGAGGAAGAATGGATTCGAATTTTGAATTCTGTGAACTCACAAAGCATACTTAGGAGGAGATACTATAAATATAAGTGATTTTCCCTGGGTGTTGTGTTAGAAGTGATTTTACTCCTTTGTATATTTTCTTCTGTGTGTATTCTGCAGGAAGGAAAAAGGAAACATTGCTTAAAATAAGTCTAAGTCTGACAGTGCTTTTTGCCAAAATAAGTAATTTTGCAGCCCCCAGAGTGGACCTAAAGCCTCTGGGTGGAATACCACCTGTTCTTCCAAGAGGGACGTGAGATGTAAGTCTGCCATGCTTTCTGGTGGAGGCTCTCTCCTTGGTATTTCTATTGTTTACCCATGAGTTCTGTTGAAAATGATTGACTTGGTGCATTTACATCAGTGTCCTACTTTATAGTCCCAGATTACCTTTCTGTAGTGTCTAGTTAGATGCACATGGATAAAGAATTGAAACACTTGAGGAGCCGCATAATATAGACTTTAGCAAACTTTTCCCATTTGATAAGTGTCACAGAAACCGCCGATACATAACTGATTTATTAATAGTTAGAGTCATAAACTTTTTTTTTGCCTTCACAGAGAACGTTTGTGCCTGATAACATTTTTCAGGTGAAATGATTTTCTTGGATTTGTAAATCCAAGGGAAAAGCAAATCTCCCTTGAAATTGTAAGGACATAAAATTACGGCACATTCAGTAAAAGGCCAGTACATTAGGGAGTTTGCCAGGAGTCATTACTGGGATATTAGGGGGAAACTGAACCTCCTTCTGAAGTTTCTTAAGTTTTAAAGTTTCTATGTTCTCCTTTAATTAAGTTAACATTATTAAATTAAAACATTTAAGAGCTAAGAATTCATGGTTATTTTAGGACACATTCCAAGCCCTCAAATGCAGTGGCTTACCAACGTGGTGGTCTAGCCAGGCTGCCATATATGGCCATTTACATTTAAATTCACTAAAATTTAAATTCACATCCTTAATTGCACTAGCCACATTTCAAGCGCTCAGAAGCCACGTGGCTAGTGGTTACCATTCTGGGCTGGGCCGATACAGAAAGTTTTATTGGCCATTCAAAGTAAGCAATAAAATCCCAATAGTTTCTGATTAATTTTAGAGTAATAGCAAACGAGTACTCTGCCTCACTCATTTCCTCCCTAGCAAGGCTTTGCCTGGCATGTTATGAAGTTATGTGCAATAAGGGACACGTGGTGAAAGAAGCAGGGATGATGAGGTTGGAAGAGAATGATTATTATTGTATTAAATTTGGTCCAGATAAATGGACAATCTGAAGGAGGAGATGCACAATTAAGACTAAAATACCTAGTCAATTCATATCACTTTAGCTTTGAAAAGGACTTTTGATTGGCTCCAATCAAGCCCTTCTGCTTAACTGGTGAGAAATTGAGGAACAGAGGTTGAGCAAAATTTATTTACGTCACACATCACATGCTAAGTAGCAGCCTCATTACTCCTTATTCTCCCAGTTAATGGTTTTTTTCACTGGCCAAGGGCAGCTTTTGTAAGAAGTTCCAGTGCTGTATTTCTTTTGTTCATCAGAGACAAGAGGTGCCAATTATAGCAAAATTTACGCCAAATCACAAAGCATATTGTATAAACAGGAAGTTCCCTTTGAAAAGCCCAGCTTTCAAACCTGAACCTTCCTATGTCTCTGGAAAAAAATCTTCCTTCAATTAGTAGGTGGCTTCACTTCAGCCTTGAAATTATATACAATGTATTTTAAGAATCAAAAGGAAGTTGCCAGTGGAGCTCAGTGGTAGAGCACTTGTACAACATGAGTGAAGCAGAGTTCAGCCACTAGTACTAAGAAAAGAAAAAAGGAAATATGTTTCTTTTTCAAAGTAGCCATTTAAAATTGTTAGGAAAGTGATTTGTTCTTTTAAAATATCCTGTTTTTTGTGTAGTCTTATTTGTTTTTGTGGTGCTGGGGATCCAACCCAGGGCTTCAGGATGGCTTTACCACTGAGCTATGTGTCCTCCCTAAAATATCCTGTTTTTGTTTTGCAAAGCTTAATGGATCAATTGTCAACAGTGAGATTTACCCCCACCCCCATCTCCATCCCATTTAAAGTGAATAGATTTTTCAAAAAGGCAAGTCAATAGAAATTACTTGTGAAGTGGTATGTTATTCTCGTATTTAATATGTTTCCCCCAGAATTATCTATTTCTGTAAGTTCCATTAGTTGCTGAGAGCTGGCTGTGGAAAGTGAAGTCATTTATTCTATCAACTGTGACTATGCGCTGTGAAGATTGCATTTTGTTAGGATTATTTCTACAGCATTCTGCTGATTATACCTTTCAGATGCTTCTTGAGCTTGTCTCCTTCCTTCTTTCCCCATGTCTTAGTTTTGACCCGTGTCTTTCCCTTCTTGGTTTTAGCTGGCTTCTGTCTGGGGTTGCCCCGCTCACCCATGTTGCAGGTGGCTGGCTACCCGAGTAGGAGTGCTTCGTCTGTGACAGCTCTGGTCATTTCACTTCCTGGAATGGCATCCTGCACCTGCCGCTCCTGCCTGCAGAGTGCCATGCAGTTCTTTATTTTATTTATTTATTTATTTTTTGGTACCGTACCGGGAATTGAACTCACGACCTCGCATTGGCCAGGCAGGCTCTGTGCTGCTGAGCTAAATCCCCAGCCCCTCCATGCAGTTCTTGTCCGTATTTTGGAAACTCTTCTCTCCTCTGGGCTCAGCCTGTTTCCTTGTTCTTATCCTCAAAGCCTTTGCTCAAATATCACTTCCTGAGGTCTTGGCTGGCCACCTCCTAAGTAATTATCATTCTTTTCCATTGTTTTCCTGATCTTCCTTGCTATTTCTCTTGGATATAGCACTGATCACCTTTTAACAGACTACATAACTTACTAATTAAAAAAAAGTATTAGCTCTTTCTCCAATTAGGATGTGATATCTGCGAGGGCAGAGGTCTTGCTTAGTTTTGTCCCACATGTCTGCTGTGCCTAGAACAGTGCCTGACATTTATGGAGATGAGTGAGTGGCAGTGAGGAGGAATGACAGTGTGGGCTCACACAGTCCTCTTTTCCTCCCTCTATGCTGAGATGCCTTGGAATTTTTCACATCTTCCTGCCACACTGTTTGCTGTTGGATCTCCACATTTAACATCTTTTCTACCTTCCTGAGGATCTGTCTCATGGTTTTACTAAGTTGCCCAGGCTGGCCTTGAACGCGGAATCCTCCTGCTTCAGCCTCCTAATTAGCTGGGCTTACAGGTGTGTGCCATCACCCTCCACTCCTCCTGAGGCTCTTAAGCCAGTGCTCCTATTTGACCTTTGGTTTGCTCTTATCCTCATCTCCTTTCTGTTATGAGCATTTGCCTGTCTAGAGTTAGTGTCCTTACTTGTCATTGCTATTGTTTCAGGTGATGTCAGAAGGCAAGTGAGGAATGGCCGGGAGAGTTGTGTCCCTATTTCTAATTTCTCAGCAAAGCACATTATTTGCAAACATTGATACTCAGCTGGCTTTGGTACCCGATCACTTGTGGTACATGAGGACTTCTAAGTTGAGTATCTTGCTCAGGGTCACTATGATGGATTAGGGATTGAAACAAGTCCTATTTGTTGGTGAAAAACACATTAGAGGTGTGAATGACCTGTATAAATGTGTGAATGATCTGTGTAAAAACCTGTGATGGTTTTGCTACTATGACCTTGATGGTTGACCTTGCGTAGAAAAGCACTCGTTATCCTTTATTCTGGTATTTTCTATTATCAACCTTGTATTGCATCCTAAGTGTTGGAATGAGTTGGTAACAATTCTGATGGGATTATGTTTCTTCTAGAGAGCTTAGAATCAAGTTAATATGATTAATATAATTAAAGTGCTCTGATTTTTTTTTTTCCTTTTGATTGCTTTTAGATAATTTTTCCTGTGAGATGAATTAAGGTAAAAGAACACCTAGTCTTCAGGCATGGAGAGCAGTTTGTCAGTTTCCAACATGCAAGACCCTTCCTCTTCTCCCTTGGAAAAGCACGTGGATTCAGCTAATGGAAATGGAGACCTTGACTCAGGTAGGACTTCGCTTGCTCTATCCTTCCGGTTTTTGGTTTATTGATGCGTATCTTTCTGAAACATTCAGGGAGCAATGGAGGCAACATTTTGAGATCTCACATACTGCCTGTTCCCCGGATTTGCTATCCTGTTTGTAGGGATACAGTATAGCAGCTTTAATATCCTGCAAACTTTGGATTGAAATTAATATGACTTTATCAGACAGAGCAGATGAGCCAATAGAGAGGCAACACATCACTTGAAGATGTAAGTGGCTTGTATTGGTAAACGTTGCCAAATTATTACACTGTCTTTCACAGATCCCTGGTGCTCTGTTCCAGAGTCACCGTGCACTGTCCTGTGACACCATACTTGAGTGTGGTGCCCAGGGTGGTCATGGTGGTGGCTGGTGGGACAGGTGGGTCTTGAGCCAGCAAACAGTTCAGTGGTGTAGATCAGTAGAGACAAATGCCAATTTGGCTAAGAACTCCTTGACCGGAAGTTCATCACATATTCTTGCTGTTGCAAGGCAGGCTGGGAAATAGAATTCCCTTGGAAGTGCTAGAGAGACAGGGGATCCGGGCCTACCCAAATCTGTAGGAGATGCTGGCGACACAAGAGGTTCTCCAGAGCATTGAGCATGTTTTTGGAAAAGTGTATGATGTGAAAGAAATGTAAGTCATGTGGATTTGTGGTAAAGTGTTCTTTTCAGTGCTATTCCGATAAAACAAAATAAAAACAAACAAGACCCCCACAGCTTTTGGTTGCATTTTAATATTTAACTAGTGAATTTGTAAGTGCATCTTTTCTCTATATACTTACGTAAAGGGTTTCTTTAAAAAGGATGTCTTTTCAAAGACTGTACTATTCATGCATAACAATGAGTTAAGTAAGGATAGTTTAGTCCTCCATTCATAGACATCTGCTGTGGTGAGTTCATGTGAAAAGAAATGCTCACTAACGCAGTGGGAGATTTAACTTCTGCCTAATGGAGTTGCCAAGTTCGTCCTCACATTTTGCTCAGATTAGTTGATGATGGAATTACAGGCTGCTTGATATCATTGAATTTACTTACGTTTCTCAAACTGCATCTTTATTTGGAAAAAAAATGTAGAAATAAGTGAATGCCATAATAGGGTGAAAGGTGAATAGTATCTGCTTTAAAATAAGCTGAGTTGTCATGCTTTTGGTTTTATTTTGCGTGAGAAGTATGAGTAAGAACACTTCTTCAAGCAGACTTGAGTTACTGTCCCTTATTGAAGAGTCCTTGTTCCCTAATGGAAACTGAGACATCCATTGTACACTGAAAGTGCATCCTAATGTACTTGTGTTGAAGTATAGTTATGCCTTTTAAAAAATTTTATTTATTTATTTATTTATTTATTTATAGACAGGGTCTCACTATGCGATGCAGGCTGGCCTTGAACTTGCTTATGTAGCCCAGGTTGGCCTTGAACTCATGGCGATCCTCCTGCCTCAGCCTACAAAGTACTGGGATTACAGGCGTGTGCCACCACACCCTTTTAAAAACAGCCTTTATGATATCTGCTGAGTGAGATGAGTTTTCCACTTTTGGGGTTCCTGAGCTTTCACTGTGTGTTTGTAATGTAGCACTCACACACATCCATGCCTGTTTCTGCACCCTGTCATCTTCAATGGTATGTTTTCAAAACTGTTTAAAAGCCAATGATGTATTATTATTGGCTTTTCATCTTCTTGCAGCTGTAATAGCTCTCTGGCTTTCTCTCTGTCTCATTGCTTCTAGCTTAAGTAGGTTCTGAAACTCATTAATGATAGTCTGCTGTCAGAAAGTTATCTGTGCTGATATTTCTTTGAGGATGACCCATGTGTGGCAGGTCTGAGGGCAAAAACAGCCTCAGTTCCTGGGGGATTTGGTAGTGAAATCCCATACAACAGGATGTTCAGATTTTTAACAAGCGTGATACTTGTAAATAATTCCAAATTACCCTTGTGTTTTTCAGATATTGGCCCAGACCCATCCCCCCCATATGACCCATCACTACCTTCTTTTTGGAATTTCCATATGTACTTGTGCCATGGGAGACTTGGACTGTAACTGTAGAATGCAGAGGCTGATTTAATTCTGGAAATTCAAATCTAGTTTTGAACATTTAAACTATTAATAATGAGTCATAGTTAAACCTGAGTCTTCCCTTGATTGACTAACTGATTGGTTGTTTAATGTGCTGGTGATTAAATCTGGTTCCTCCTGCATGTTAGGCAAGTACTCTGCCACTGAGCTACACATTCAGCCCCATTTGTTATTTTTTCCAGTGTGTTCATACATGAATTATTTTCAGTCCTGGAATCCCTTGTAAAGATACGGAGTTCTGAGATTCACTGGGATGCGCTCAGGGCTGTACAAAGTTTGAGTCCTGAAGGTCCTTTCCCAGGAGGCTTTCAGGTGAGATTTATGGGTCTGATATAAAAGAGAAGGCAGATTTCATGTTCTTCAGTGCGTTCTAAATTGGCTTGTGAGTGAGCTACATTAGCTGTGTATGAGTTGTGACTACGTGGCAGGCATGCAGGGTTTTGAGTTCTTCACGTATGTTTGCTCAGTAATCCTCCAGCACTCAGTGAAGTGGCGTTTTTACTGTGTGCGTTTGAGAGACGAGGAAACTGGGCAGTGAGGCCAAGTCATCTGGGTGGTGTGGTGGAAGCAGGGCTTGATCTCAGGCATCCTGAGCTGTGAAACCCTGGGTTGAGGTAGGGTTTCCTGCAGTGACCAAACTGGTACTGAGCATACGTTAGGTGTTTTAAAAATGTCTTGAGTGCTAGGATAAGTCATCAGGAATCATGCCTGTCCCCCCCATGGACAAAGACACAACCCAACTTCTGTCATGTTCTGTCCTCCACTTTCCCCTGTCCCCTCCCTCTTGTTACATGACACATTACAGCGTTTGCCAGCAAGTGACTACACTTCGATGACTGCAGCTCTTCTCTGAGAATATCATGGGGTGGAAGAGCAAGAAACCTAAGAGCTTTGCTCCAGGAGGTTTTTCTCTGTGGCTCAGGTCTTCCCACCCTGCACCTCCAGCTGTTTTGATTCCTTGTAGCAGTGATTCCTCCACGAGGAAAACGTTAGCCTGAAACAGTGGACTCGGAGCCTTACTGCAGTACATTTTTTTTTTTGCCTCTTTTCTTAAGGAAGTCTCAAATTCTAATAGAGATCAATAGCTGACGCCCACTGCCTGTAAATGAATGTAAAGCAGTGCCTCCTCCAAGGAACTCTAGGTATGTGACGGGCATAAGCCCGACAGACAAGGAGCCTGAAGCTATGGGTGTCCCCAGCACACAGCATGGGTAGCTCATCGGAATACATACGGGGAGTTCCATGGCTGTGATTCTGCGTGGCTTCGTGGTCTGTGACAAAAGCAAGCAGAGCAACATGCTGACATCATGACAGATAGATTCCTGGACATTATTTTTGCAGGCCTGCTCAGTATAATTTCCTGATGAAGTCTGTAGATAAAATGGTGCTGCACATTTAGTCTGGGAAAGCCTCTGAGTAGAAAGAAGACAGCTGCAATGTGGGCCCGAGTCACTTTCTTTTGGGGGGCATTGGGAATGTATTACCTGGAGAACTACAGGCTCACTCTTCTATTTGGGAAGAAAAGGAGTCAGCATTCTTAGAACTATTCAGAACATATTTTTCATGCTGAGACCCACCTCTGTAGAATGCAACAGTATTATTTCCTCTCTCCCCTCTTTTTCTAATCCTCTTCAGAGTACTTTGCTGCTTCCCCTGGATAGATTATTTTTCCTTTTTTTTTTTCTCCTAGGAGAACTGTGGCCATTTGGCTACGTATGACAGCCACAGGGCCCTTTGTGTTCCAATGACTGTCCATCCCTGTGTGCTCGTCCTGCAGTAGTGAGCTCAGATGGGCGGGTAGCTTCTGTCCCTTTTAGAGTTATTTGTACCATTAAAGAACACCAGCACACACTCAGTAAGATTTTGTTCCTTTTGAGTATGTCAGTTGGCCGCCCCTTTATCGAGTCATCTTGAGCCTTGCAAAGCCAGCCTCATTTCATACTGTAAAATGGTGCAAACCCAGGGTTTTATTACCTAAGAAAAAGATGGATGGGCTGTTTCATTTTTATTCTAAAGTCACTTGTACTCCTGCTTTTAATAAGATATTCTTTTTATGTTTATTATGGAATGTTGTGAGCCCACAAATAGCTTTCTGTTTGCTAGAAGTGCATCGCCACTAATGAACCTGCCTGTTTTCTTTTAAATGGTGAAATTTTCTTAGTAGCTTTTTGGAGTCAGTTTTCATGACATCATGGGGCTATGTCTCCCACTGGTTCATTTGCAGTGGAAGGAGATTGTCAGAGTTTCCTTGATAAAATGTTTATGGGCTTAAGAGGTTTATGAATCAGCTGTAAATATTTGCTCTGGGTTTATGAGACCTCTCCTCATAAACGTTGTGTGTTTATCTACTGCTCATTGAAATGCCTTTAGAGAATCAATTGCTTAGGGCACAGAGGCACAAGGATGGGTTGTATGTGACAGAGTTTAACAGGCCATATTATGAGCAACCCTAAATTTTGTGTATGACTTTATTTTTCAAGCAGCTGGGTTAAAGTCACTATTTTGGGGCACAAAGTTTTTATTTTTTAAATCCCATTCTAGGTCTGACTTCTGGGGTGCTTTATAAGGTGATTTCTTTAGACCAGCAGAGAGTGGCAGAGTTCACTGTCTTTCTGATGCTGCTCTGGAGACGCGGGCTGGGGAGGGGCCGCTGACCTCGTGGTCGTCTGGGCTGGATAAAAGAGTGAGCATTAAAGAATAGAGAGCCTGTTTATTGGAGGAGGGGCTAGAAATGTAGCTTGTAATGAGTTAAAATTTGGTCTCAGCAAAATTATTGTCAAAATACTAATAACATAGATTAGAATTGCAGCAAAGGCTCTCAAAGTCAAAGTTGAGAAATGTAGACGCTGTGATTTGAAGCCATAGAACCGTGGCTAATGGGGATGGCGTAAGGTGCTGCGGGGAGCTGCAGCCTCATGTGAGTGAAGTTTCCTGAGGCAGAAGGACTCATCGCTCAACCAGAGTCCTGCGCAGTCGTTCTCTGGTGGCTGCTCAGGGACTGAGCTCCCTGCTCATGCCGCCTCCTAGCTTTCTGTCTTCCTCATATACAGTCTGGGATTCTGTCCTCAGTGATGGGACAGGACCGCCTCAGCGGCTCCCTCAGAACCCTCGGGGAGAGAGGAGGAGGCTTCTGGTGCATGATGCAGGCGGAAGAAGAAATCTAAGAAGAGTTCCCGCTTCCCAACCAGACAGCCAGTCTCGGACTTCTGACTCTGAGGGTGAACCTCTGTGACCGGCTGATTCTCTAACCTGAGCTCCCCTTAATGCTTCCTTCTGTGAGCCTCAGGGCTTGGAAGGACTGTGAGGTCCTGCCTCTGGAGCACTAGCGGATAGTGGACACCTAAACACGGCCAGCTCTTAGGACGCTCGCTGGGAAGTTCCTCTGATGGCATGTGGTCACAGCTTGGCAGGGACTGCAGGAGGGCAGAGTACAAGTGGAAGCCAGACAGTGGGGCAGTCAGACAGTGAGAAGTCCGACTTCGTCTGTGACAGGTTTGCTAACCTCAGACGCTGCACCAACACACATGCTCAGTGGTGAGTTACTGCCTCTGACGGGTTAATCAAAACGTGAATTTGGCAAAAGGTACCCGGCTTGTTTGGGAAGAAGGCATCATGGGCAGCAGTTTGGGTGCCACCTGAGGTCTTTTCCAGAGTGAACTGTGTTCTCTTTGGGATATTTTGCTGTGTTGTAGCAGCTGTAAAACTCCTGGCATCACCCCTTCATAACTGGGAACTCTGGACCCGTTGAATTTTTGAGGGGAGCACATTTCTGTGTGAAGGGCCTAAACATCCCTGGGTGAAACAGGGTGTTGAGAGAGAGACAGAAGAAAGGCTTTCCCTTCAGATGTTTTCTTCTGATTCTGAGTCATTTTACTGGTGTAAAATTTGAGAAATGCTTCCAAGGAACTCGGATTTGGAAGGCAACATTTAAGCTTGCTGCCATAAAAATTACCCTCTTCTGTCAAATGCTGGGACTACTTAGAATATAATGAGAGAATTACTTTTCCTACTTTAATTGAAAAGTCCTAGTAGGAAAAAGTGATAGCTTCCCATCGCTAGTTCCCCTGGCCCATCTGATGGGACATAACTCTTCCTATTAATCCCATGCATTTCCTCTTGGCCATGAAATTGGCTCTTCCTTGCAAAAGATACCTGGGTTGAATATCAGCATTCATAGAACATTCTTGGAAGAGAGGAGCCTCTAACCTTTGGGAGCTGTCATTTGTGTATGGGGTAGCTCTTCCTGATGGGATTTCTTTCACTATGATAGCCTTGCAAGTAAGTTAACATACTGTGGAGAGCTTCATACGTCTTTCCATTTGAAACATAACATGTATGCTATGTATATCTTACAGTGCATCTTTTGGTGCTTTTTAGTAAGTACAGCCATTCCTTGGGGCATAAGCTTGCGTCCAGTGGACCCATCCCTTTACTTTTCTACTGTAAATTTATACTTTAGCATTATAGTAGCCAGCTACTCTGTATCCCGTAGTACTTTTTCCTGAGGGATACAGGAAGCAATCTGTGTGTTTACCCACTTGACAAGTGGCAAGGAATGTGCACATGTGCAGAAGTGGCAAAATGAGACTTTATGCTCTGTCTAACTGGCTTTGTGTGTGTTTGCGGAGCATCACAGAGGGTCCAGTAGACCCACTCCAGGATTTATTAAAAAAAGTTTTCTTTTGATTTTTCTGGTAGAAGTAGCCTAACTCAGTACAGTGGCACATGAAAAACCACATTTGCGAGCTTTAGAGAAGGTCAAAAGTGAATCATCAGATTACTCATGCATGGATGATGAAGATGATCCATTATGGTAAAAGACAGCCTTTTATAACAAAAGAGTGGTGTGTTGTGGATGATGATGATGACAGTGATGACTTGATGTTGGCTTTGTGAGCTAAAGTCCCTGAGAAGTGAAATGGAGCAAGAATCAACTGATACAGACACAGGGATGCAGACCTCCTTGATTCAGATGATAAAGAAAACAGCAGTGTGAGTACATACTTGACTAGTCGAAATGTCGCAAAATGGCATACAGCCAAACTGAACGATCCGGTGTTAGAACTAGGTCCAAAAATATAGTGAGAGTCTTGGCAGGGGTGAAGCGTATTGGTTAGAATGCCAGCAGTGCCATTCAGTGCTGGAAATTGTAACAGACGAAATGCTACAATATGCTGCGAAACATACAAAGGCTGACATGCAAGTAAAATGTTCTGTATGCACCAATAGCCATATTAAAAAATATTGTGACACCCCACTAGCTGAACGGAAAGCATTCATAGGTCAGCTCTACTTAGTACAGATTTCTTATGGTAATTGCAGGAATGTAAAAGACTTATGGAAAAGTGATGGCTCAAAATGTGGCATGAAAGTTTATGCCCTTGTAGATGTGAAGACTTACGCTTTTAGTTTAGACATTTATTGTGGAACTCAGCCATCAGATCCTTATTCATATAGCAGTAAACCGAATGGTATTGTATATAGACTTGTTCCCATCACCCAGACTGATTGGAATGTGACATTTGGTGATTGGTCTGCTGATTACCAGTTGATGTGACATCTGCTAACAGCACAGGTTGAGCAGCACAGGAAGTGTGTGCAGGACAAAGCAGAAATTCCAAATGAAATGTTGCAATTTCAAACCAGAATTGTACAGTACAAACTTTGGATTTCAGAAAGACAGAACTTGGGCCTTATATGTGGCAAAGGAAAGCAAAGTGGTACTACTGATGTCAGCAGTTTACTATGAGGGAAATACTGACAGGGAAACCTCGACAAAGTGGGAGCTTGACATGGAAACTTTCAACAACAAAACCTAGAGGTGGAGTACATATTCTTCAGCAACTTCCATGTCACTTGAAACACAGAGCATGTGGGAACTTACTTCTGATGTTCTTTTTTAGACTTTGCACACCAAAAACCAGTCAGTGTTGAAAATTTTGATGCTTTTTTATAAACAAATATTAAAAACTCAATACTTTATTTTTGTGATTTTTTTTTTTTCCTGTTAAGTACACGTTTTTTAATGTAATAAAACTCACATAATTAAAATTAATTCAGTAGAAATATTCTGAAGAATAAACATGGGTCCCTGATGATAAAATTAATCTTACGCTCTAAAGGCTACATGTTTTGGGAGTTGATGATCTCCCTTTGAGCCTGAGAGTGAGGATGTGTGCAAATTTAAAACAGTTGCGATTTTCAGAGTCGTGATGTACATTGGATTGTGGATCTCCTTGTTCCTGGTGATTGGAGAAACAGATCCTGCTGCTGTGAGTGGCCCTGAGGGCTGCGGGAGGGCTGTGTCCCAGCTGGAGAAGCGGGCACGAGGGTGTTGGGCAGCTGGTCTATTTTTGTCACCAGCTTGCCAATGCTGAGAAAGTCCTTTCGGAGTTTCATTTTCCCTGCTTTAAAATGTCATCAAAGTCACTGTGAACTGAAGTCCCTTGTGACATTAACATATTCTTGTATAATCTACAGCCACAGTAGGTATCCAGGAGTGCCTGTGTAGGTCAAGGTGCATACTGAGTGCTGGAAGACTCTCTTTCCCCAAAGGCTGGAGTTCTGCCCGGGCTAATACGCTGTTATCAACAAACCAGCCCAGAGAGGATTTCCATTCATTTGCCCGAGATATTGCTCTTGATTTTGTCAGAGGGTCAAAGAAGGATTTTGCCATCGTTTCTTCCGTCAGCGTCTCTACAACCACACACTGAAGCGCCACAGAGAATTCAATATCTGAGTAAACCGCTGTGTTAGTTTGCTTCTTTTATGAAGGATTTTCTGATCCTAGTTGAAGCCAGTGGCTTTCCATTCTCTACCCTAGTATTGATATTCCTTTTCTGTTTGTTTGTTTTTCTCAATAGAAGATGGCTCCAGCTTGGAAGAAACCGGTTTTAACTGGGGAGACTATTTGGAAGAGACAGGGGCTAGGGCTGCCCCTCACACATCCTTCAAACATGTAAGTAAAGCAGCTCATGTCTGCTCTGTGAGGGAGAAGTGGAGGGAATCTGCAGTGGAAAGAAAGGAATGCAAAAAAGAGGAAATTCAGCCAGATTTTCTAGGAATAAAGAGATGTGGAAATAAGGTGGTTTTCACAGATAGCTGCAGATAAGATAGGTAAGGCTCGCTGCAGTAAACAGAAGGCTAGCAATCCTGGAAAGAATGTGCAACTTCTAATATCTTAGTAGGTTCATAGCTGTATAGTGTTACTGTGAACTGATGTTTTGGAAGGATGCATTACATTTTCACAGCAATTTATGGGCAGATGTATCGAATGAGATACTCTGAAAACATTTAGATGTAACACAGAATCATCCTCACCAGTGGTATTTCTTTGGATAATGCAAGTAGGATCCCCACCAAGACAAGTTCTAGAAAACCGAAAAACTTGAGTTCGTGCAAGATTGCTGCTTAGGTGTGTGCTCTTGATGATCTCATTAGGAACAAAATAATGAATTTCAAGACTGAGTTATTAGCTGTGGACCATTGTTTTAATCAACTAGAATTTCATTCTGAGAAATCTCCCCCACCCCCACCCCACGGATTACCCAGGGCAAAGATTCAGCAGGAGTTTCATAGTCAAATTGGTCAGTTTGTTAATTTTCCTTTTGGTTCCTTGGCTGAATGAGAAAGCCTGAACTTTTTTTTTTTTAAATTTTAATAAGACATTCTAGTCTTTGGGCGGGTGAAGTGGTTTTTGGAAAGGAATTTAAGACCTTGTTAAATCTGTGTGCTCTGGTCAAGGTAGGTTGGAGTCCCACTTCTCTTTTGATACTCATCATGTGATAACTTAGTATGAATGTGATTATGGCCATTTAATAGAACAAAGAACTGGATATTAAAATACAGCAGAACCAGAACTGTCCTGGCAAACAGATGGACTATGGTCCTCCGAAAGTCAAGTAACAGGTACAGCTTAAGATGCTGGTGTGATTTTGTAGTTTCCTTAAGAATATTTGGGAAAGAGATACTGATTGACACCTTCTCTCTTTCTCTCTGTATGAAGAAATCTCCATTTTCACTCTTTGTGGAGTCACTGTTGTTTTCTGTGATTTATCAGTTCTCCCACTTCCCTTTCAAACGGTAGTTGGTGCCCTGCATGGCAGGGCAGAGTTCCACATTTGTCTTCCAGAATGCAGACTTTCCCAGACCTGTGTGCCAGATTTAAAGGAAAATTAGCAGTGGACTCATGAACAATTGATTTATGATTCCATCATTTCCTTTAGCAGATACATAAGCTTTAGAATGTTAAGACCTACCAGGCTGGAAAGCTTTTTCGGGGGCAAGGAGACGGGAAAGGCATATAGGTCCTAATGAAAAAGAGAAACAGAGAAGTCCGTTTTCTGGGCTCACACTGTCCAGGCAGTAGCTACCAGCGCTTGGAACTGTTGGTGCTTGAAAACCTTGCAGCCCAAATTGCTATTTGATGTGGACAGAGAATCACAGTGTAGACTGCGTTTGGAAGGAAGATTCTCTCATTGTCATTTCTTATACGGGTACACGTTGCGATGATGAATATGTTGGAAATGTATTATAAAATTGATTTTACCTGTTTTGAATCTTCTAGAAGTTTTAGCATTACATTTATAGCTTAGATTTACTTCTTCTAGACAAATACATGCCTATTGTAGGACAACAAAAATACTCTTTTAAAGTGCTATGTTTTTAAGCAGTTCTTACAGTCTTTTGGAGGTGTGTGTCTAGTAGAGTAATGGTCTTCCTGTGTTTCTTGTGCTTTAAGGTGGAAATCAGCATTCAGAGCAACTTCCAGCCGGGAATGAAATTGGAGGTGGCCAACAAGAACAACCCGGACACATACTGGGTGGCCACAATCATCACCACCTGCGGGCAGCTGCTGCTGCTGCGCTACTGTGGTTACGGGGAGGACCGCAGGGCTGACTTCTGGTGTGACGTGGTCATTGCCGACCTGCACCCCGTGGGGTGGTGCACACAGAACAACAAGGTCTTGATGCCTCCAGACGGTGAGCCCACATAGTCGGGGAGGCTTCAGCTTACAAGCGAGCATCCTTCCAGCGCCTGTAGTCACTGCAGGGGCAGAGAGAGTCCTCATAGCGACCTGATTGGGCCTCCAGCTCATCACAGATCGCTTCTCGGATGTCATTTGCTGGAGGCGCTGGGGCGAGGGAAGTGGGTGTATATTCACGCATCAGAGTTGCTCCTGACCATTGTGCCATCTGTGGCCTTTGCGAGGTAAAAGGTCTAGAACTCAGCCCTCAGGTTGCTTCTGGAGGTCAGAAAAGAAGCGCTGAAGGGGTGCCTTATTTGGGTCTTGTTTTCTCTTTGGTGATTAGTTGTGTTGCTTTTCTTCTGTTTTAGAGAACTGACATATTGAATAGGACCACAGAGCCCCTTTAACTGGTTTCCCTAATAAATTTTAATCTTTCTTGTGGGGAGACTGAGGGTATGAAGCATTTAGAACTCTAGATAGGAGACAGGACATCATTCAAGGGAGTGGTCAAAGCTGACAGCGATAAGATCAGGTTGCTACAAACCAGTGGTTCTGTGCTGGGTGGTCCCCTGCATCCTGTGCCCCTGGGGACAACGAGCAAGGTCTGGAAGTATTTTTGGTTGGGGTTGTAGGGGGAGAGAGGTGCTACGGACATCGGGTAGGAGGAGACCAGCCCTGTTGGTGAATCGGCCATGTACCGGAGGCTTCATAACTAAGAATTCTGCCCGTAGGCTGAGAGTGGCGTGGGAGCGACTGGGCTGCGTGTTACAGAGGCTTGAAAGAAACTTGTCTGGTCCTGTGAGTGTGAGAACTGAGGTCAGCCAAATATTTGACTGTCAGAATCGTGCTCTGCCTGTTGTGCTGTGCGATCCTGACAGCAGTTGTAACAGAAAATGCCTCCCACCACCAGCCAGTATACTTGTTTGTTAGGTGCCCAGGTCGTAGTTCCTCTTCCAGAACCGGTTGCTCCTGTCTCTTAGAAATGGCTGGACACTGTGATGCACATTGTATAAACCGATCCCCGGCTGACAAGCCATTCTGCCTCTGTGCCTCCTGCTCGCTTATCTCATATCAGCCCTACACCACCGGCGATCAGGGCCTGATATTCTGGGAGTGATACTGAGCAGTGTCTGTTGACGTAAATAAATCTGCCTCCAAATCCTGGGTGTTGTTTCAGTGTTTCTGCTTACTGTTGCACAGTGACACCTGAAGGCTTGCAATGCTGCCTCTCAAACATGTGCCTGTCCTCCCGGGACTCAGCTACTTCCCTTCCTTTTGAAATGACTTGTATGTTTTTCGAGGTAACCATGGTATTAGCACCGCTGTAACCTTTCACTGTATTTGCATCTTACGTTTTTTTTCAGGTTATGATGTGTTGTTTTTATGAATGGGGGGAATTGTCTTTTTTTTTTTTAACACTACTCTTTTGTTATGCATGATCGATAACCTGGTAAGGAGGGACTTATAAAAAAATGGCTAGAGTCTAAGAGGTACATTTATGTGACATTTGTTGCGATTGAATGTTGCCTTGACCTTAGCTGGAATCTAGACCCTTGTCTCAGAAGGAGGAGGAAAAAGGTCTTCTGTTTTGGATCTTTGTATCTACTCTGTCCTGTGCCTGGAGCTGGTTTCCTCCCTCTTTCCTCCTCCTGTTCTGGCTGTCAGTTTATCCATCCCTTCCACCACACCACCAGATTAGACACCACCTGTGCTCATTTGACGGCATAGACAGTTGGGGTAGTGTTGATCATGTCGCAGCTATGCTTTGTGTATGTGTGTGTGTTACTGGGATTGGAACGCAGTACCACACTGAGTGAGTGCATACTAGGCAAATACTCTATCTACCATTGAGCTACATCTCCAGCCCTCTTAATTTTTTTATTTTGAGGTGGGTGCTTTCTGTGTTACCAAGGCTAGGCTCTTCTGCCTCAGCCTTCTGAGTAGCTGGGATTGTAGGCATGCAACAGCGCACTTTGTTTGTATAAGTTTAGAATACAGTTTACACACCATAACATTAATCACTTTCAGTTCAGTAGTTTTTAGCATATTCACCCCCAAAGCTTATCACCTCCAAAGTTGCTTTTTCTTCCCCTTCCCATAGCCCCTAATCCACTTTCTGTTTGTGTAGACCTTCCTGTTCTGGACATTCTACACATATGGAATCACGCAGGTTCGTATTGTTTGGTTTCTTCCACTAATATAACAGCGTCAGCCCTCATGGGAACTGTGGCTTCTTCAGGGAGTCCTTTCTTTTCAAGTGTGTATACTATGCGGTTGTATGGATCTGTCACACTTTGTTTCTGCATTTGTCAGCTGGTGGACATTCGGATGCAACTCTCCTTCCCACTGTGTGGCTGTTTGAATGTAGCCAGATTTGCAGTCCTGGACACTGAGCTCCAGTGTGTGAGCTCACACTCCTGCGTGCCCCAGAGCAGACATACACTGCCTGTGCTGGAGCGGCTCTCAGTCAGGGATCAGTGAGGAATTGGATGATCAGCTGAAGAAAGCTGGAATGCTGCAACAGTCCAAGCTTCACGGTTGTGACTTGGTCTGGGAGTGCGGGGACCTCCTTAACCTTTCTGCTTGTGTTTTCAGTTAGTAGTGCCCATGCCTTCCTGTCTCTGAGCCTGCGTTCCTGCCTTCCCGCTCCACGGGAGCTTGCAGATGGGTGCTGGAGAATGGCTGCTGATGGGTCAGGCTTCATTTTCACTCCCTTTCCTGTTCCGCATGAGCAGATGACAGAGTGAAGAGAGGATTTGGGGCTGAACAGCACCCTGCAATGCTTTGGGGGATGCCTGCTTCATGTGGGCCCCACTCTGCTTTAAGTGGTCATGAATGGAATTCTCAGCTCTGGCTTTGGATTAAAACTGCCACTCAAGTGAGAAGATGCAATGTAACATTCAATTATTTAATCTTCCTGTGATTGCTGACCTGTTGAAAGTAAATTTGTCTTGATGAATGAATTGTAGTGCTGAGATCCTAGGAAAATACCTGTTCTAGTTAGAGAATTAGAAGTAATCCCTTCCCCAACTCTGCACACAGATGCCACGTAGACAAACCCTCCCTCACCCGGGATCCGCAGGCACATGTGGGGTCGTTGGGGGGAGACATAGACACACTTGAAGCCCCGAGAGGAGGAGACCAACAGCACCATAGAATCAAGCTTGACTCCTGATTGCTGACGCTTCTATCATCCCACTCATAACATACTCTTAAAAGGTTGACAACTGAGTAGCTGCATGCCCCAGGGAAGGATGTAAGACGATTGCACCTAGTAATAGCTGGTCTGGTGACTAGCTTTAGAAGTTCTGGAGGACCGATATTAGCACCATAAGAGCTCATGGGTTCATCTGGTAAAAAGCTCATGGTGTTGCTTGAGAGCTCAGGTATCATCGGGGACCTGGCCAAGATCCCCAACTGCCTGTATGAGGGGTACGGCAAAAGGAAATAAGAAACAGACAAATTTAATAGTGTATGAAGGAGGGCTGGAAGGTCAGTGCCTCGAGATGTGTGGAGACGGGGACACTCTGAGCCAGCCACTATTTATGGGGTGTAACGTGACAGGAAGAGCTGGTGGGAGATTCAAGGTGGGGGAAGACTCAGAGGTCGGTGACTCGGTGGCAAAGGATAATCCTGGGGTGATTCTAGAGGGCGCAGATGATCCCATGCTAAGAAGGATCTTGCCCGGGAGTGGTTTTTAATCTTAGTGGTTTTAGTTTAGTCTTAGTGGGTGGGAGTGGGTGGCCCATCCCTAAAGATTTAATGGGAACTCTCAAGAGTGATATCTATAACCCCAATTCTCCATTTACCCCCCAGGGAAGTATACAGAATTAGCCATTGTGAATTTGTGGTCCCCAGCACTCAGGCATAGTTTATTAATCTCGCTTGGAAGAAAAATGTGACAGGAGTCACAGTTTCATTTCAGAAAGACCACCAGATTTGTATCCTATAGAGTCTGTGCTATTAGGCAAGACACACGGGTGCCCGTAAAATGACAGGTTCACGATGAAAACTAGGAAGACCTGGGAAAAGGGAAACCATTAATATGACGGAAAGATTTGAAATCTATTCAGACAATATCAAGTTAGGCCAACTTGAGCATTTCTTTAGTGCTGTTTTTTAAAGAACTTAAAGAAATTTAGTAGGTAATCAATAGGACTTGAAAATCTTTAGTGCAGAGAACAAAGTCAGGAAATAGCAGGTTCATGGGGCAAGAGTTTTTATTGATTGCTGTAGGACTGGATAATTATTGCTTTGTAACCAGAGGCGGCAGTTCTTCCAGAGGGAATAGAAAAATCTATTTTTTGAACAGGGGATATTTTGTTTGTTTGTTTATGTGGTTTTCTTAGACAGCTAATACCATTTGTAAATTCTGCAACTGAACCTATCCGATATTTTGTTGTGGTTAAACTTGAAAGGCATTGTAGAGTGTTAACATGCGTTATAGCAATCCGAGACAAGCAGAGTGCCGGTTTGGGAGCTCTGTGGTGAGAGGTTTCTTATGGATCCTGGGTGTCAAAGTGGCGTAAAGGAAGGGGCATCGTGGTTAAACTAGAGACCTGAATTCTTTTTGTTTGGTTAGTTATTTGGTATTTATTATTATTTTATAGTGGCGGGGATCAAACCCAGGTGCCAGGCAAGTGCTCTACCCCTGAACGATTCCCCCAGCACAGAGAACTGAATTCGTATTTTTCCCTTACCATCAACTTAGCTCCATGGGTGAGTTCCTCTCAGCCAGCAGTCTTTTTCAGGTTTTTCATTGAGATGTTGGGCTCTCGCTGTGCTTCCCAACTGGCCTCACCCAGGTTGCCCTCATCTTTGAAGGGAGGAGTTATAGTTTAGAAATCTCTGACGAGCTTTTCAGTCTGGAATTTCCTGGTTTCTGATCCTTGTGAGGGAAGGGTGGAAAGAAGGTAGGAATCTCCTTCTAATCTATCTTCTCTAATCTTCCTGTTTAATGCGTGAAGAATGGAGTTCCTTTTGGAATTAGGATCCACACACACAGAGCCCAGG